GAGTAAAAAAAATAATGAATAAGTTATAAATAGTTTTGGATAAACATATTAATTAATAAAGATTATTAAAATATCAAGAATTTTAAATAATTATAACTTATAATATGTACAACCGATGTGTAGTAACTTGATAATAACTGTATCAACTTTTAAGGAAAGAAAGAATAAGAGTTTTTTTTTTTTTTAATATGTACTCTTAAAACACAGGTTAAAAGCATAATTATTACATTTTTAGCCATTAAATATTACAGAAAAATCTAAAAAAATTGATATTAATGTTCGCACTAATAACACATGTATTATTTCAATTGGTTAGTTGGTAAAATTAAAATCAATCTTTATTTTTCTATGTAATTTAATGACTAGAAGGTATAATAATTACACCATTCAAGGTACAGATTAAAAAAATTTTAAAAAATAATAACAAAGAAATTATCAATATAGAAGAAAAAGTGAAGAGGAATATAAGTAAATAAATAAATATATTGATAACATATGTAAGATTAAGTTGAAAGATAGAGTCGTAAGAAAAGTTCGTGAAAAATAGAGTACAGGTAAATGGAAAGGAGGAGTGCTAGGGGCGCTCGCCTTCTGCACTCTCCGGCCAACACTTTCACTTTTATTGGGCCACGTTATTCTGGTCGCTAGGAGATTGCACCTCAAAGCTTAAACAAGCTTACGTGGCCCAATGAAAGGGGAAGTGTTGGCCGGAGAGTGCAAGAGGCGAGTGCCCCTAGCACTGCTCAATGGAAAGGTAACAAAAAAAATATGCAGATTTATTATAATTTTTATCTTTTAACTTAAAAACCTTTTAATATGGGTATTCAAGAGAGGAGATTAATTTGGATTAAAAAAGATATATAATAGTGATAGATATAATCAATCATTTGTTGATCCGAGTATAAAGAGTTCGGTATTCTTTAAGTAAAATCTCGAGTTTAAATCTTATAAATAGAGAAATAGGCGTGGGAAAGATTCACCTATTATGGGCTCTAATGCAATTTAATTATGAATTAATAGAGATCCAACGTAATTTTCAGATACGAAAGGTTAGTAAAAAAAAAATAGTTATAGATCCTGAGATAAAAAAAATTAATGAAGATTTGATGAATTATTCTATCATGTTTACTAGGTTGAAAATTTTTAATTAATATGAAAGTTGGATATATGTTTATAATAAATTAATAGGTGTTTGAAATAATTTGTATATTAATTAATTGAAAATTAATTTTAATTATAAATTATTTTTATAATATTTAATAATTATTTAAAAAGTGTCAAATTAATTGCTATTTTAGAGACTAGTATTA